TAATAATATTCATTATGGGTCGCTTGTATAGATATTAGCCTATTTACAAGACATAGTATTTAGTTCACATTTAAAACTGTAAAATTGCTAAATACTTTGAATTAAAAGCTGACTAAAAGTTGTCAAAAGTATTTGAGTTAATGTTATAGTGTAATTTTCAAAAGTTTAATATTCTTAACTGATGATGACCTTTAGATTTGGATATATATAATGTTTTGCCAGTGATTTGTGCGAATGGATGACTAGATTATATGGGCTTGAATGAGTCTCTGGCCTGAGGTAAGACCAAATACTGTAATCACAAAATCTAAAAGTATTATTGAGGGGCCCTTTCTGATTCACTTGTGTCCAGTTGCACCTTCATTAGCATTTCACATAGACAGAGATAGGATTATTTGTAACAGTGAACAACACTGACTACTGACACGGATTTGTGGCTAATTATAACTGAATAACCTGAGCTTTGTAAATGTATATGGACATGTTACATGCCGTCATTCCTTAGACATACTGTTGAAACTTGTACACATGTGCAAATGTGCTATTTATGGAAAATCACTGAATGCATCATTGACCAGTTTATTATTCCACTGCTGTACTGTTCCGTGCATGAAAAAGGCATCAGATGTACATGTAATTTCAACAATAGCTATAGTGCTTTAGCATCATGAGTGCTAGTATAGTAGAGTACTAGACCAATATACTGCTATTTGACCATTGTGAGATTATAATTTTATTTGTTTTAAAGGGGTCCTATTATGCTCTTTTACAAAGTCTTGATTTTGTTTTGGGGGTGTACTAGAACATGCTCTCATGCTTGGTGGTTCGAAAAACGCATTATTTTTCACATAATTTACATTATTAAAATACCTTTCTCCCCATCCTGGTACAAACAGCTCGATTAGTTCCGGCTTTGATGAAGGTCCGCCTTCCGAAAAACAAAATGTGATGTGATTGGTTAGCTGTCCCAGTGCGTTGTGATTGGCGAACAGCTTAGACGGTGTTTCAGTACTGCCACGCCCCCTTGCTCCGTCTTTCAACAAAACCATTTGGCACTTCTCACTCGTGTTGTGGAAGCTGTCCTCAGTAAAATGCGCAGCACACAATTGGGATTATAATGCTCAGGAACAGAGTTAAAAAGTAAATTGCAACCACTGTTTCCTGACATCATCCGCTTTCGGAAGTGAAAAAAAACCGTTTCAGGCGGTCGCGCACCGGACGAGAAGCGCAGCGTCGCGCCACGGCTTTAAAATTCGAACACATTATTTTCTATGAGTGTAGCACACCGGCGGCGCCGAGCTACGTCATGTTATACTTCTAAGTATTGTTCTAGACCAGCGGTTTTTAATTCCAGCCCTCACGTACCCCCGCTCTGCATGTTTTGCACGTCTCTCTTTGTTTAACACACCTGATTCAGATCATCTCGTTAGAAGTGAGCTCCGTGCATGAACTGTGTTCCGATTGACATGGTCCCTACACAGTGTCCATTGCTCCCTACTCCCTGAGCAGGGGAAATCCGTTGAAGTTTACTTCACTTCGGAATATTCATTTACAGATTTGCGCTCTGCCGCTGCCTGCAGCGTCTTCACACACAAACGAAACTTACTAGAGAAGCGTGAAGTGGGACATAATATACCTCTGTAAATAAATACAATTTAAATTCACGTCTCGCACACTTAAATGCCCTTTGTCTGGAACATATACGCTCCCTTCAAACTGGAATCATGGAGGAATATCCAGTAATGTCCACTTCGCAGGGCACTTACAGTCAAATATAACAAACGTATGAAGCAATAAGAGAAACATACAAAACGTGCAGAGCGGGGGTACGCGAGGACTGGAAATGAGAACCGCTGTTCTAGACATGCCAAAAATTTGAGGCTACAGCACAGCAGCTCTTCTTCTTGGTTTTCTCTGATGCACTAACTCTGCAGCAGCGCTTCTTCTTCGTCGTCTCGTCTGATGCACTCACTCAACCAAGCGTTCTAACCACAACCTCGCCCCTCCCCACCCCCCAACCATTCGAATTTCTGTAGGCGGGAATTATTTGTAATGAAATTCTAATGAGCCGCTTTGTGATATCACAAAGCCCGGAAACCAAACGCTGTAGTCCAAACGAGCCGTTTGCTGTAGTTCTTGAAAATGGATTTTTTAAAAACGAAATAACTCCCTTTGGAGTGGACTTTGAGATTTGTAACTTTCTAGATCTTTTTTTATGCCCAAACATACACACTACACACTGACTAAAATTAAAAAAGTGAAAAAGCATAATTGAACCCCTTTAACACTAAAAGTTTGGGGTCTGCTGTAAAATTGATAATGTTTTTGAAATAAATCTCTTCTGTTCATCAAGGCTGCATGTGCATCTAACTGAAATATTGTGAAAACATTATTACAATTTAAAATAACTTTTTTCTATTTGAATATATTATAAATGTAATTTATTTCTGTGATGGCAAAGCTGACTTTTCAGTAGTCATTACTCTAGTCTTCAGTGTCACATGATAGCTAAACATGTAAATGTTTACATAGCTAAAAAGGTAAATATGAATTAATCATAACTTGTAATTAATTACAAATATTTGAATCAGCTAATGTAATATTACAATCACCAAACCTGTTTGCCCAGCAAACACCCAGTGTTAATTGTTTATTAATTCTAAGAAATGTTTATTTCCGGGTATGGGAAATAATGTCCTTATTGTACAATACTACTCGGAGCATGTAGCCAAATTCTGCATGATTAGGGACTCCAGTTATGAGCAAAACAACATACAACCTTGAGTGTGATACAAACAAGACTTTATTAACTACACTAAACACTTAAACTATTCTAACACACACACAAACATGCATACAGTTTAACAATGGAAAGAAAGCTTAGTACAGCAGAGTACACCCTTCTTTAAAAGGGGTGGGGATACTTAATGGATCAAACAATGAGACTAAGTTTGATACTTGCATGTCTTGCCCATTTGAATAAAAGTGTCCTGATGCAGTTTGTTGAGGCTCCAGTTGATCTTGGCTGAGAGAGAACCAGCTGAAATCTGAGGATCTTTGGTGAATGGAAAGACAAGGCCGCAGCCTGGCACAAACTTAGGGGTCCTTAGAAGACTTCTAGCTCAGCACCCTCATCTTCCTCATCTAAAAGAGCCGCCCTGATCTTGTGATCAGTGATCTTTAAAGTGTGAGGATGGTTCATGCAACTCACCGAGTGGGTTTTAAAGATTATTTGTTAAATATAACAAATAATTGTCTGTCTGATCAGTCAAGTTGTTACAGTATCGTAAGTATTCATTTTCATCTTATCACTGTTTTTTTTGTCTTTATGGCTTGCTTAGTTTGTTGATGGAGAGGATTTCGAATGACAGCCGGCACAGTGGTCATCACAGGTGGAATTCTGGCTGCCATTATCTTGCTAACTATTGTCACAGTTCTGTGTTACTGTAGGCTGCAGGTAAATCTCCTCTACTGCTCGTCTCATAAGTAACTCCCTCTTCTGTACTTACTTATATATTGAGTGTGACATCTCACTCTGCCCATTAGTATTACTGCTGTAAAAGAGACGAGTCAGAGGAGGGGGAGGAGGAGGCTGATGTTGCCAAGGCATCGCCAAATCCACAGCTCCAACCGAGTCCACCTGAGAGTCCACTGAGTCTTCAACATTTCCCTGAATATGCGTCCTCCAATCAGCTGCTAATGACTGCAGAGCCCTTTGAGCCCAATGGACCAGTAAGCTACCCTCAATACTTCATGCGCGCGCCCTACAGACCGCCCCGCTCGTACACTTTCTGCCCGTCCTGCTCGGGGTATCTGCTATTGAGTGTGACATCTCACTCTGCCCATTAGTATTACTGCTGTAAAAGAGACGAGTCAGAGGAGGGGGAGGAGGAGGCTGATGTTGCCAAGGCATCGCCAAATCCACAGCGCCAACCGAGTCCACCTGAGAGTCCACTGAGTCTTCAACATTTCCCTGAATATGCGTCCTCCAATCAGCTGCTAATGACTGCAGAGCCCTTTGAGCCCAATGGACCAGTAAGCTACCCTCAATACTTCATGCGCGCGCCCTACAGACCGCCCCGCTCATACACTTTCTGCCCGTCCTGCTCGGGGTATCTGCCGCTCTACATGAGCCCACAGGAGGGGCTGCGTAATGGGGGTGGCAGGATCAGCTACAGGACACTGCAGCAGGAGGAATTAGACCTGCCAATGGAGGTGCCCAGCTTCCACAAACTCAACCTTATCCGCTCTGTCACCATGCAAGAAGTGCTGACTCATCACAGCATCAGCACGGATGTGTAGCGCCTCATATTCACCTAAAGCATTGTGTTATTCACAATTATTGTGCTGCTTTGCTGTACCAGGTTGTTCAATTCATTGTATCCAATACATCAAATTTATGTATGTATGTATGTATGTATGTATGTATGTATGTATTTATCTATCAGAAGGATAGTCATGCACCAGTGCTGTTTAGTATCACTGAGATGCTATTAGAAAAAATTTTTTTTGTAGAAAAACAGAAAATATACTGGTAATACAGGACATTGTCTGTTAAGTTTACAGATGTTTCCTTTAACCCCAAAACACACAAAACGCAATCCATAATTCAAAATACGGATGAAACACCTGTGAAAAATCAATATGGATCAAAATCAATTCCTTCATATTAACACTGTACATTGTGCCCTATTTATACAGACTTTTCTGATGGTGTGTAATAAAAATAGTTGCTTTATTATTATATATATATATATATATGTTATTATTATTATGTAACTAATAGGGCTTTTTAAGGGCATGAAAACTGGAGTAAAATTTTGATATTTCACATTCTTTTGTCTATCACAGATATTTACTGCTGTAGTGAAATAGACGATTAAAAGATATATATGGTATGATGATATGGTGTGGATCTATGGTATATTTCATTTGTGAAATGATAATACCACCTGCAGTCATAGTTTTACATGTGGATTGTAAATTTGTGTGTCTGATTGTGTAATATAATTGACTGATTTTATAATTCTCTGCATTCTCATCTTTGTGTGTAGTGCCACTCAGTTTGCATTGATTTTAATCAAAAATAACTCTGAAGTCACCAAAATAAGGATCTGTTATTGTCTTTTATCTTTTTCATTTGTTGATAAATGCAAGATTTGTTAACATTGACATTGGCTGTGTGAGAATTCAGTCACCTTGTGGTGTGATAAATGAACATTTAACTGCACATGCTGTTTGCTGGCCAGCAGGTGGCATCAGTTCTTGTGCAGAAAAAAGGACTTATAATTGGTTAATTAAAAACATCAAACAAGAGAAAAATGTGTGTGTGTGTGTGTGTTATGTATGATGGAAATTATGCAGATGAATATTGCTGAAAGTAACTATGATTTCCGACTCCCTAAAAATTATTAAATGTTTTATCATCTTAATCAGCTTAAATAAATGTAATTTGCACTAGGGTTATTATATTTAACTAAAAATACTCATGAGACCATTCCATGCATTATAAGGTGCATTACAAGGCATACTTAATGCATTAAAACTACTTTTATAATGCATTATAACATTAACTGAAATAAAACTTATTTTGTTTCAGCTAGTTGCCAAGGCAACATATCTCATTTTTGTTTAGTTTAAGTACTTAACTAAAACTAAAAAAATAAAACTTAATAAAAACATATTAATATCAACATACAAAAAGCTAATAATATGACAAAAACACACAACAAAATTACTCAAATTCTACCTAAAATTAAGATGAAAACAGAAACTATAAAAATAAAATTCAATCCAAAATATCATCTGAAACTATAATAGTATAGGAGTAATGCTAAAAATAACACGGATTTACACTTTATTAATGTAAATTATATTAAAACTTGTACTAAAAATATCCAACCAAACAACACAAACCACACCATTTCATTGGAGTATAATGTTTAATATTTATAATATACTGAGAGGTACACAAAAGTTTTTCTACAAGAAAATCAAATGACTTACATATGATTGCCTTTTGTACTTGAGGTAAGGTAGTACAATATATGAATCAGATACATTTTCAACTATAGCGTGTTCAAGTGTCAGGACCAGTGTTGGGCAAGTTACTCTGAAAATGTAATAAAATGACTGATTACTGATTACTCCTTTTAAAAGTAATCACGTTACTGTTCTGATTACTTTATTTCAAAAGTAATTAGTTACATTACTAGTTACGTTACTTTTTTCTCCATTACATTTATGAAATCCCATCATACACGCTCCCGATAAATATTTGTTATTAAAGCATCAACATTCACAGAACACTGATATTTTTAACTAAAGCAAGTGACTGCTGCGTGCATGGTTTGGCATTGCAGAAAATCTGCAATTTAAAATCTCTAAAAGACATCTCAGTTCATCGCAATCTCACAAATCTCTGTTATAACACAATAAATATATGCATAATGAATCTTTCATAATGTCTACAATTCGTGTGTTATATTGAGAGGATTCATGAGCACGCAAATTTCAGCACTGCATTGCTCAACGCTGCAAACACGTGTTATAGCCTAAATAGAAACTCTGCATACGCTTGCACCTGTTAATCGTTTATATTTTATATTAGTTCATGTAGATATTTCTATTTTGCGGAATCCTGTGAATCATTTTATTCTCCCGCATCCCGCACACACACGAGTGTCTACACGCCCGCACCAGCACTCTTGTCCCGCGCCGCACTCTGTTGCGTCGGGTCTCGCGGGAGCAGGTCTCTAATCCACTGGCACTTGACTCGACAGTGCATGTGCTACATCCTTTTTACAATCTCTAGATTATAAAACACTGCATTCTGTCAGCAATGTAACGCGGCAGTAACGTATAGAGACTTCGGCTTGTAACTATACTCTGATTACTATTTTGGAAATTATAACGCGTTAAATTACTCCGTTACTAAAAAAAAGTAATCAAATTACAGTAACGCGTTACTAAGTAATGCGTTACTGCCCAACACTGGTCAGGACTCACTCAGTGACAAGAATAAAATGACTGGGCTATGTCAAGTTCTGCTAAATTCATTGTCAATTAAAATCAAGTGAATGAAATACAAGAATGAATCGGATACACACAGAATGAGAGAACCCAATAAAACTACTGCTGTAACCAATAAATTAACATAAGCCTAGGTCTAACCATAGTTAAACCGGATAAAAGTAAACAGTAGAGCCTAAGAGCCAGCAGTGGCTTGAGGCTCAGCCTGTGTTTGGATGTACAGTACTAAATCAGCCATCTTCAGCCAGAGGTAACATTCAGTATCGACCTCTGCCACTGCCAGATAATAAATGTCCAATAAAACCTGACGAATAATAAATAATTTTAAGACATGCAATATAATCCTCTGAGCAATAATCAAATAATTTAATATTTCCTTAGTGTATCCCACAATCACAGGACACTGTCATATAGGTATCATTTTGTAATACTGACAGTAATGCAGTTTTATGGATCTAGCTTTAGATATAAACAAATACGGATTCAAACTTCCCTTGCTGCAATCCTTGAACAATCTCAATGCAGATGACATGAACGGATGAAAACTTGAGTGGTGGAGACGAGCTAGGAAGCTCGAAGATTACGGCAAGAATGGCAACAGGCCTTACTGTAATACCAGTGACTGCACAGATTCACCCTCAGAGCCAGCGAGCAGTTGGTGGTGGGACGATCCTGGCAGTTTTCATCTGGTGAAGCAATGATGGAGTTAAAATTCATGTTATTTATGATTTCTCTGGATCTATAGCACATATTTAGTTTTTATAATATGTAAAATTACAGTCAGAAGGCAATGCTTCAAGGTGCATATTTCATATTTAAGGGATAGTTAACCCAAAAATTTAAATTATGTCATCATGAATCACCTCCATGTTGCTCCAGACATGTATAACACTATAAATATAATAAATGCAATAACAAGGACTGGACAAAAGGCATAATGATGACATATGACACCAATTGACACTGGTTCTCTCAAGTCTTGAGACCAAAAATGAAACTATATTATAATAATGATATCTATGTATATAAAATAGTTGTGTATGTTTATATGTGTGTTTATATGTATATATGTGTGTGTGTGTGTGTGTGTGTTTATATATGTGTGTGTGTGTGTTTATATATGTGTGTGTGTATGTTTCTATATGTGTTGTGTGTGTGTGTTTATATGTGTGTGTGTGTGTAATGTGTGCGCGTTTTTGTGACAAATGAGGATAAATTTGTATAATGACAAAGGTATGACATAGGTATTACAAGGAGAAGGTGACTTTTCAGGACATTACCCCATGTACCCACTTTTCAAAACACTTATAAATCACACAGAATGGAGTGTATTGAAAATCTGAAATAGCACAAAGTTTCCTGTAAGGGGTAGGTTTAGGGGTAGGGTTGGTGTAGGGCAATAGAATATACGGTCTGTACAGTATAAAAACCATTACGCCTATGGGATGTCCTCACTTTTCAAAACGCTTATAAATCACACAGAATGGAGTGCATTTATAAATAACTGTAAAAATAACAGCATACAGATTTAAAACAATGTGAAAGTGAGAAAATAATGACAGAACTTTGGCACACCTGGAGGTTCGGTGGGACAGGGCTGGAGTGCACAGGTCTGCTTGTTAACAGGTTTGGTCAAAGGGTCGCATCCACGAACAAGCTCTCTTCCCTGATAACACTTCACATCTCTCATTCGCACACCAACACCACAAGTCTTGGTGCACTGAAACCCAGTTTAGTACAAGCAAGGAGAAAGAACAGTCAGTTACACTTGAACTTGGGAACCTTCACTGGAGAGAGAGAGGCTCAAGAAGAAAATTAGCTGTAAACTCACTTAGCTTACTGTAATTGCCTACATGGGCAACTGTCTGACAGACACAAATCACCATCATAAATTGAATACATGTTTAAATGTTTCACCTCAGACCATGGTGTTGTGTACCACTTGAAGCAAGGCCTCTCAAAGCAGGTGTCCTCGTCTACTGGTCGCTTGCTGCCGTCACATTCCTCATCCTCGTGGATCTGGACCTTCCCACCCGTGATGCTGACACACAGCACGGTCCTTCTTTTCACACCGCGTCCACATGTCGTGTTGCACTGGGAGGCAGAAGACAAAGATTACTGGAGAAATATTGACAAATCATTCATTTTCCAAACATAAGTGTCATCTTCACCCTCTCCCAGTCTTGGGCCAGCCAGTGTGGAGGGCATTCGTTGTCTCCACAGGGGTGAATGGCCAGAGGTTTGTTCTCAGGTGAGCACTGAGACTCAGG